CCCCCAAGAATCCCCGAGGCTGCCAGAGAAAGGCTCCCCTGGGTCGCCACTCAAATTTCCGTTCTTAACGGAGACATTTAAGTGAATTTTGCCTCGTCTTACGACCTTTCTTGCAGCAGTTGCTAAGAGAGGAACACGGTTATTAAGCGAATCGGGCTCTCCCGTTGATCTGAGAACGCCCCAAGGGCGTCGTGTGGAACCAACGCTCACAATTCACCTTTTTTCAGTGCCATTTTAACTTCGGTCACTAAACGGAAGTTGAGAACTATCTGCCTAGGGAGTCCTCGGTTTACGGCTGTCACGGAGCCTGCCCCTTACGGTCGCAGAGCAGGGAATCATGTCCCCGTCGGGTTGATTCCCAGCACCCCCCCCCCGCCGCTTTCCCTTCGAGCGGCACCCACTTACGTCCACAAACTCGGTGGTCAGTTTGAAGGCCGAGGTTTCGAAGCCCAGATTGCGGGGGGAGCTGGACAGGATGAAGCCGAAGTCGATGTGGATGATGTGGCCGTGCGCGTCCAGCAGGATGTTGCCGTTGTGCCTGGGGGGGGGCACGGGGGGTGGGGGCAGGGAAGAGCGTTTTGCAAAAGGAGCCCCCCCTCCCCACCCCTCCCAGGTGCCACCTGAGGCAGGAGATTCTCAGGGAGCCCTCGGCACGCGCCCAGGAGCCAGGCCCCTCCAGCCTCACCTGTCCTTCACCTGCAGCAGGTAGCAGACCAGGCAGTAGCCGGCGCAGCTCTGCACAAAGTTGCGCTGGGCGGTGAGGAAGCCCTCGGAGGTGAACTGGCCGTGCTCCTGCAGGAAGAAGTCCAGCAGGGAGAGCTGCGACTGCTTCTTCACCTGGTGGATGGAGACAGCGTTGACCACCGGCTCGATCATGCCGCTGTCGGCCGAGATGACCAGGATCTTGTACGGCTTGATCCAGAGCGGGACGCGCTCCTGCTCCCAGATGGCCTGCAAGGGAAGACCGGAGGGCTGGGAGGGCCTGGGGGCCGGGACGCCCGCCTGCCCCCGCCTGCTCTCAATTCCTCCCTCCCTCCCTCTTCCTTCCCTTCCCTTCCCCTCCCTTACCTGCAGCTGCTTGAGCACCTGGAAGGCCAGCAGCTCCTGCCGGAGGTCGTCCCCGCACTTCACAATCACGGAGAGGAGCCGCCAGTTGGGCAGGTGGCCGTAAGGGGAGCCCTCTCGGATCCGCCTGGGGAGGGGGGAGGGCAGTTTGGAAAGGATGAGCCCCCGCTGGCCTGGGTTTTTTTTGGGGGGGGGGGCTGCCCCTCCTCCAGGGACTCTGCCTGACCAGCCCTGGCGGCCAACAGACCCGGCAGCCGCCCCTCCTGCCCTGCCTCTCCCTCCTCCCCCCACCCCAGTTTTGGCCCCGCAAAAGTCCCACTTAGAGGAGCAACTGGGGTAACTCTCCGGCGGGTGGACTTCAGCGCCCAGGATCCTCTGCTGCCCGGGGAACTCTGGGAGTCGAAGTCCAGGCTTTTCCTGACCACCTCAGAGCCCCTTCCCCCCCCAGCCCCCCCCCTCACCTCACTTTCTCCTGCCAGGGCTCCTTCAGGGCCACAGCCGAGGGGTCTTCGGGGTCCCTCTTGAAGGAGGTGGGCGTGTGGGCCAGCTGCTCGGAGAGGCGCCTCCTGCGGAAGGGAACCCAGGTCAGCTCGGCTCCTGCCAGGCCCTGCCCCCCCCCGGCCCCTGGCTAAGGATTAAGGCCAGATGGACAGACGGACGTGGCTTCCGAGTTCTCGGAAGAATCCGGGGGGGGGGGATCCGCTGCGCCTACAGCCCCTCCTGAGAGTCCGGCTGTCTATTCAGCACCCGGCATAAACCAACGGCCCCGTCTAAGGACACCGGATGAAAGGCGACATTATTGGCGTCCCGGGAGTGTCGGGGGTGGTGGTGGGGGCGTCCCTGCCTCGGAGGGACCTCGGCAGCCTCCCTCCTGCCCTCCACGCAGCCCCCCCCGCCCCCGCCGGCCGGCTCTCTTCACCTGATGTCCCCCGCCGCGATGAAGACCGGCTCCTTGCTCTCTTGGCTGGTGATGCTGTCCACCGAGAACTGCGAGATGTTGTCGCAGCTGCTGGTGTGCAGTTCGGGCAGCTGCAGGGCGGAGGAAGCTGGGCGTGAGCACCGAGGGGGGAGGGGACGGGGGACGGTCCAGGATAGGAGCCACCCTCTCCCTCACGCCCGGTCCCTCCCCCCGCTCACCTCCACCTGCAGCTCCCCGATGTCGTCCACAGACCAGGCCTCGTCGTCGTTGTCGTAGTTGGGCACGGTGGTGAAGCTGCTGGCGCGCTGCTCGTAGGTGATGCCGCACTCGGGCAGGTTCTCCACCGAGCGGGTGCTGCGGATCCGGTTCTCGGGGATGCGGGCCGGGACGCTGGTGGTGTCGAAGTTCTCGCACTCAAGCGCCTCCACGTAGATCAGGTAGGGAGCCTGGGGGGGGGGGCGAAGGGGGGGGGATGAAGGCCCTGCTCGTCCAGGGCGCCCCACTGCACGGGAAAGGGGGGGCATCCCCACGGACGAGGGAGCAACACTGGGGCCTTTAGCAAGAGCCCCCCCCCTTTGCAGGGAGTCCCACAATCGCCCACAAAGTCCCTGGCGGGGGGCAGAGCCGTTTAATGACTGCATGAACCACTTAATGGCTGCAGGGATTTATCTACTGTGGAAAAACAGATCCCCGAATTGGGCAGGAGTCCCTTGAACAACGGCCCCGCTTAGCCGCAAAACCCCCAGGCCCCCCGTGGCCCTAAGTCGAGTCCCGCACAGTCTCCGGAGCCTCGGAGGACCCCCCCGGCTCCCCCTCACCTTGTCCTTGGAGTTCAGGACCACCGCCTGGGTGTGGGGCACCCGCACCACGTGGTGGTCGAAGCCGGCGGTGGGCAGCCAGACGCGGGCGGGCAGCTTGTGGTTGAGCAGGGACAGCTCGGAGATCAGCCTCTGCGTCTTCTGCTCCTTGGTGGGCAGCGTGGTCAGCCGCTTCCCGATGGCCATCAGCGACTTGATGAACTCCCGCTCCGGGGCCAGGCGGACGGGCTGTGGGGGGGGGGAGAAGGTGAGGCCCAGCCCCCGCGAAGAGCCCCTGCCAGGGCTGGGGGGCGTCTTATTTTGCTGTTCTGGCGAACCCCCTCCCTCTCTCATCACTCCGGAGGCGCTGCAGGAGCTGACCAGCTGGGCCGAAGGGACAGGCGCCACCTCTGGCTGTGGGGAGAAGCCGAGTGGAACCCCCCCCCCGCAATGAACTCTGAACCGAGCCCCCTGCTGGGAGCCCAGGCTTGGGGGGGGAGGAGAAAGAAGGCAAGGGTCCTCAGGGGTCCCCATTGCCTCGCCTAACCCTGGCGCTGCGGACGTCCTTGGGCTGAAGACCCCCTTAGTCCTAGGTGCACCCTATCCGCCTCCCTCGGCGGACCAGCCCACCACGGCACCAATCGAAGTCCCACCTGGCTGCAGCCCCCCTGCCCCAAAGGGGGGGCCCCTCCTGGGTCCCTAAGCCAACCGGGGGCCTCTAAGAGCAGAAGCCCCTCGCTGACCCAGACAGGGGAGGGGGAGCCCCCTCCGGGACCGGCTGAATCCCTGCCACGAGCCCCTGCCCAGCTCCCACCTGGGGCCTTTCCGATGGGGGCCCTCGGCTGTGGCAGAGCTGAGGCCAGGTGGGCAAGGCCCCGGCCCAGCCGCCATGGTCACCCCACCCCGATGACCCCAAGAAGCTCGGGGAAGAGACACGGCTGGACGAGGCCATCTGGGAGCGGGGAGCGATGAAAATCAATTTGACGCAGAAAGAGACGCCGCCGATTTGGGGGCTCCGAATGGCAGCTGGACCCCCTTGCCAAGCTCCCCTTGATTTCTCTCCCCGTTTGCCAGTCCCGCCTTGCGACCCATTTCACGACCGAGGGGGGAAAGTAGAGGTTTGCAGAAGGAAAACCAAAATTTGATTGGCGCGAGCAAAATCTCAGCAGAAAGGAAAGAAAAAACGAAAACAACCCAGTTCTTAATTTGAGGCAGCAAAGGAAGAGTCGAACATTCGCACTAGGCCCAGGACAGGCTACATCAAAACGAATCTCGGGTCCCCCAAAACAGCATTTCCTCTTTTTTTTTCGGGTGAAATTACGGGGGGGGCGGGTTTCCCTGCAGCTGAGGGAGGCAGGCCGGTCATGGGAACGGCCAAAACTTTGCAAACTTTTAGAACTTTGCAAGATGCTGGAGATCTTGCTGTGCTGGGACCAGACACTGAGTCCCTCTCTTCATTGTCACTTCAAGTGTGAAGTGCTGGGGGGGGTGGGGGTGTCCCCCCACCCCTAAAAACCTTAAGGTGGTGGGTGGGCTGTGGGAGAAGCAGCTGAGAGGTTCTGGAGAAAGCGGGCGCTGTGCTTTGGCCATGCAGAATTTACTGCTCCTAAGATCCTGGCA